GTATATATGTAATATTGTAATATTGAAATATCTTGAATATCAATATATGCCGTGTAGTTGCTTTGATATTGGAATCATTAGTATTGCGAGCATTAAATGTATATATATATATGTATGTGTTATTGAGAATTTGTGCGTATATTGTAGCTAGTTGAAGTATACCTTTAGTTATCGATGGGAATATGTGCCTTTGGTAGTTATAGACACTATGATATTATACATTACAAGTGTCCTTGGTTCGAACGTATTCGTTTATTTTGTTATATTTACACGCTACTGTCCTGACATATATATGTTGTTCTCACAAGTAAATGGTCTGGACAGAGTAAACAAACACCGTAGCCAAGTCTCCTATCCCCCTTCTCTTCGAACTATTTCCAATCGCCAAACGTATTTTCGCTATCGTCTTCATATCTTCTCCGAAAACAGATCATTAAGATGATGTCTACGATGCAAGAGAAGAAGAGCATTATCCTGATCATGGAGGTATGTGTTCAGCTTTATTTGGCAGCGCAGTATACATATAAATACGCAATAAACCATCTCTTTCGGATCGCGTCATTGGTTCTATCTCATACCCCTCGCTAATTTCGTCTACTATCGCTCACAAGCACATTCATACAAGTGGCCCTATTGTAAGTGCGTGTAGTTTAGTCATTCCCTACTTTTGAGTAGAAAAATGTCAGGTATATGTAAAGCTCAAGTCGATTGATACTAACAGACAAAAAGACATCGATGTGCAGAGCCACTTACACACTTGTATGTACAAATTACATGTGGGCATGACCAACTGTCTATGCACACCTGGGTATTCTTGTACAAGCATGCGTGTTCATGTGATCCCATATGTTCGTTTATATTTAGATGAAACATCGCTCTCACGTCACTCAAAGTGTAAAGTTGTATATATACATCCATGGGCTGAGCGAATCTCTTGTATGGATCTTTTAGCTTATATTCATATCTTCACTCGTAATGGATTCATATAGAACGGATTTAGCTGTACGAAACCATTTTTTACCAGCGTACTGCAATCTTATTATAGACATTTAGTACATATGTGTCACGAACTTCACCTCTGGTCGTTGGATTAGATTTCCCGATACTGTATCGTATCTCAGTATATTTGTACCGAAATTTGCCTCGCGATCAGCACTGCTCTGGGGGCGATCTGGATTCCTATAGAGCGAATAGCAAGCATGGATTCATCAACGAGGAGAAGTGCAGGTAACTATAGCGCAGAGCTTGATATTTAATGTGTAAGACCTTTCGATCCAAGTATATGCGTGCATGTAGGGCTGAATACGGCATCTTATCAGTGTGAGTCCAGTGAGCATGGTTTACAAATGTATTTGTCTATAGTTATACTTATGGTGTCGACATATGTGGTTTGCCGGAAATGGTAGTTGGATCGATGGCTTCATATAACATGCAATCTTTGGGTGAGGTGCAGTGCAACTGTCAGTGGTGAGAATATTGGGTGTCTTACTGAATGCCGATCGTTATATATATATATATATATGTGTGTGTGTTTGTGTGTATGTGTATTTCTGTATATATGTATATATATATGAATATATGTATCTATCTATTTGTATAGATATACATATATATTCATATATATATATATATATATACATAAATATATATATATACATACATATATATATATATAAATATATATATACATAAATATATATATACATTTATATATATCTATATATAAATACATATACATTTATACATATATATATATATATATAATGTGTCTGTTCAAGCGTGAGTGCGAATCTTAAAGTATACGTATGTGAGTGTTCTGTTCTGTTCTGTTCAGCGTGGTTTGTTTCTGATGCTTGTTCATAAGTGCACATTCTATAGATGCATTTTGTAAAGTCGGCGTGTTATAACGTATGGGGCTGGATTTGTTCTAGTTCATCGTTGATATCGCTACTTTCAAATGCTCATGAGTTGCGCCCAAGCGTTAAAGAATAAATCAGGCTTCGTTGCATTTTCTTTTGCCAATTTTGTTCTCGAAACTCATAACAAGTCACTTTTCTGATACGCTGCCAAAATTATCAGGGGGTTCTTCAACCAGATCATTTCCGGGGTGGATTATCTACATAAGAACTTCATGACACATCGCGATATAAAACCGGCCAATATCATCCTGGACAGCAAGCACACCACCCCGAAGCTCATAGATTTCGGATTCACCAATATATTCGACGATGTAAGTGTATGCCCGGATTTTTGTACACATACATACATACTTACATACATACACACATAGATTTATACATACATACACATACAAACACATACTGTGTACTATATACAACTTCAGCGAGTGGCAGTATGTGATCTGTACCATACTGATAGCGTACTACATCTGGGGCAGTATGGGATCTGTACCATACTGATAGCGTACTACATATGCATCGTGGCTTATTCTAGTTTTATCCGAAAATATATGGCATTTTGCTTTTTCTAGAAGCGAATTACAATAATTTAAGTGTATGTTTCATTATTTTTAGTGTACGTTACAATATTTTTAATGTATGTTAAAATATTTTTACTGTTTGTTACAATGTTTTTAGTGTATGTTACTAATATGTCATTGCCCCTGAGTGTTCTAAATATTCAGAGGGGTGTCAAGTTGCACTTTAAGTAGGTAGTCATATGACAAGGTTCACATACGAAATATATCCCTGAACATCTCGTGCATATCCAAAACCGTATTTCTAAATTATCAAATATATTTACGTATATTTATCACAAAATATCTGTATTATTAAATATCTGCATTTTCATTCACATCATCTATGTGTGTCCATGCCTATCTCAGCGTAAGCGATCTTCCGTGTGCATTTCTTTATATCACTCAATCCATGGTTCTACTACACACAACAGAAAGAAAAAATGAAGTCATTCCTAGGGTCGCCACATTTCGCAGCACCAGAACTTCTCACTGGCACCAAATACGAAGGCCCCATGGTATGTGAACTAGTGGTTTATGTCTTCGTTCACACCATCCGTTTGTTTTCTTCATTCTTATGAAGAGGCGATTGTATGCATTTTATAGGCTTACAGGCTCATGTGCTCGTCGCATTCTGTATGTTGTATATTATAACAATGA